AAATGGCTGTCCAATCCATTTTTGAAAACCTCCAGCGATGGAGCATCCAAACCCCTGGGAGGCGAGCTGCTCTCACTGTCACGTTCTGCTTCCTTCTAGGTTGTATCTCTCTTTGAGAAGCTTTCGCCCATTACTTCTTGCCCTGCCCTCTGGTGCCCTGTAGAATAGGTCCATCCTCTCTTTTGAGAGCCAGTGTGGGGTAGATCTGGGGACAAGATGGGCAGAGGGCGACTCTGGTTCAAATCACCGGGCGACTTTGTTAGTCACTTTGTTTCAGCTCAACTTAGCTCACAGGAACGTTGCAGGAGGAAAATGAAGAGTAAGCGCTCTTTATGCTGTCCTGAGCCTTTGAAGAAAAGGAGGGATGTAAATTAGAAAATAAATATTGAAATTTGGCAGTATGGTTGCTTCTGCTTCTTAGAGCATGTGTGACTCTGGGGGTGAAGTTTAAAGCATCTCTTGCACTTACCTTTTTGAAGGGAAGTGTTGGAGATGGTCGCTCTTGTGGTGAGACATGGATGGAAGGGTGCAGTTCTTTGGACCCTGCTGGATCCTTCAACAGGTCATGATATAATTGTATTTTCTGGGCCCTCTGTGAGGTTGGAGCTGGAAGTATTTTTTCACAGTAGAGGCGGTGGCAACAGTCGTGGTTATTTACATAGCTTATATAGTTCTGGTCCTTCTTATGTAGAGATCTTTAGTTAACAGGAGAGGAAGGAATGGCGGAGTCATTGGCCACCCATTGTGGGGCACCCAGGACTCTCCTGGACTGCTTAATATTGCTATGCAGCTGCCTCTGAGAGGTTGTCCATAAGCTGAGGCTGGGGGATGGTCCCCTGGGACAGGTGAACATGGAGGCAGATAAAGTTGCTGCTGGTGGGTAGGTCTGAAGGAGAGGCCCCCAAAATGGGAAAAGCTTGTTATCACTAGATCCCAGTGGCAGGCATAGGAGGGCATGGTGAGAACCCGATCTTCCAGCAGCTGATGCTCATCAATCCACATGTATTTATTTGTGTTCTGCCTTTTTTATTTTTTTATAAATAATTCAAGGTGATAAACATATCCAACACACCTTCGTCTTTCTCTTTTCCCCACAGCAACAACCCTTTGAGTGGTAAAGACCCCTTGAGTGCCAGGAGTTTTTTCCTTTGAATATTGCCATGGCTGCCTCGGGAGTTGAGGATTGCTTGCCATGCAGGCCTGGGAGTTGAAAAGAGCTTCTGGGAAGGGAGAGGCCAGAAGGGCCCTGGGCTCGTTGCTCTGGGCTCATCTTGCCCAGGCACTCCTGTCCAGACCAGGCCACCTTTGGGGGAAGCAAGAGAGGCATGGAGGGTGGGGAGCAACCTGGCAGGGGAAGAGAAGAGCCAGGGGAGACTCCTCTCTGAGACTGGAGGGAGGACTGAGACTTGCTTCAGAGAAGCGGGCTCAGCTGTGAAGGCCATCTTGCTCTGGTACCAGCTGTCGCCAGATGTGCCAGCCCTTCCTGGTACTGCGGGCTGCTTGTCTGAAGCAAAGGCTCCAAGACAGTTGGCCATTCTCTAAAGCTGGCATCTGACCAGCAGCAGGAGGAGGAGGAGGAGGCCCGACTCTCCTGCCCCCCAGACCTGATGGTCCAGGGTGTCAAGGAAAGGAGAACGCAGAGCCATGTTGTTGGAAGAGAGCGTAGGAGATGTTTTTAGCATCATCTTCAAAGGAGACCCTTTTTCTCCTGCCAGAAGGGGGTCCTGGGCAAGCAGTTCTGCTGCTTGGCCTTCTCTCCAGCAGCGCCCTTTTCCCTGTTTGGCCCATGGCCAGCTAGCAGCAAGGTCAGAGCTGCCTTTCCCAGGAACCAACAGAACTCTCCTTGCCTCCATTTCCCCAAGGTTTGAGGAGGGAGAATTCACTGCAGCTTAGCCACTCTCTGCTGTGGAAAGGACACATTGCCTCCAGGCGCTCAGAGCTACACCAGGACCCTTCTTGGCATAACTTGTACAGCCTGGGGCAACAGTCTCACCAGCCTGCGTGGCAGAAATTGACCAAGAAAGCTTCTTGGCAGCAACGAGACTGCACCTACAGAAGCCAATTTCAGAAGCGGCAACCCCAAATCCCATCCACCTGAGGCTGGGAGCAGCTTCTGCCCATGAGGGGTTAGGCAGCTCACATCTGGCTCCTTTGTCAGTGGAAGTCTTTTCCCAAATGAAAAAAGAACAGAAACTTGAAATAAAATCCTTGCAGCACTTTATTTCTATAGGAAAAGCAGAGCGGCTTAGAATTGCATTGTTTTCAAAACCCCATTTGGTCCCTGAAGATAGGGTGTCGTTTCTACTTGGCAAACCCTGCAGGAGACAAGCTACAATCTTCTCAGGACAATAGACACTCCTGGAAAAACCACACTCACAAGTGGGAAGGTACATGTCCGATCAGCAAACTGGGAAGTAGCAGGGAAGAAAAAAGTGATGCAGCTGGGGTAGAGGCATTGCAGTGAGGTGGGGAGATGGGAAAGTTAGGGGCCACCAGGGAGCATTCAGGCTGGCTGCCAGCCCCAGCCCCATTGAACTTCAGGGCCCCAGGAGTTGACTACGAGGCTGCTGGCCTGGGCTGCTTCTGTGGCATCTGTTTCAGCCCCAGTGCCACCAGTGGCCACCCCCCCACCCCCTCATCTTCTCTGTTTGGTCTTTCAAGAGGGCCCTTCCTTCCTTCCTTCCTTCCTTCCTTCCTTCCTTACCTTAATCTCCATTTTGGCAGCTTCTTTAAGATTCACCAATGAGCTTCATCCTGTTTGGCAGAGGCTGCCTCAGGCCCAGGACTGGATCTTAAAGTTGGAGCTTCACGTGTGTGTGTGTGTGTGTGTGTGTGTGTGTGTGTGTGTGTGTGTGTGTTCCACTCCTGCTCTCTCTTTGCAGCCCACCAAACTGCTGGGCTGTAGGGCCATTTGCAGCTGAACCACGGCATGCCAGGGAGCAGCCAGGCTGAGAAAGAGAGGAACTCAAGGGGCTCCAGGGCAAGAAGGGACCCTTTGCTGAAGAGGCGGGACTTCTGAGTGAGCCCATAGTGGCCACAAGGGATGAACTGATAGGAAAAGGGCACTTTTAAAATAACTGCTCCACACAGCACATAACTCTGCTTCTACTGGAACTTGAGAGGCTCCAAATTCAGTAAGCAGCAACTGTGAGCGGCTCAGAGTGGGTGGCCAGACAAACATTTTCCATCCATAAATTTGATCAGTAAAGACTGAACGGGGTTTGTGATGTGGTTCCCCACTCAACATATAAGCCCGTGGTTCAGCCACGTCTCTCAGACTTGTGCATTTCTCCCTTGAGCCCGGGCAGCCGTGGATTTCCTGGCACTGGGACAGCCTGGTGACTGCCTCTCCCCAGTGCACTTAGCTCAGCCATGCAGGGAGAAGCTGCTCTTGGTGCTTGTCCTGAGCCCTTCTGGGAGGTAAAGAGGGCTGAGTGCAGGACGTGTTGCCCCTTCCCTGAGCTGTTTCAGAAAAATGCTGAAAGCTGAACTGTTTCAGAGGATATTCTAGCCAGATTCTGTTTTTATTCCTGAGCTGTTTCATCTCTGAGTTGTATTCTGTTATTTACCTGCCTTAAATGTTTCAATTCTTTATCTGCCAAGAGTCATTTGACTGATGCAATAATAAATCAGTGTGCCAGGCTGCTGCTAAGGGGCTCTCCCAGGGGCCCGAGAGGGGAGAAAGCTGACGGCACACTTCCAGAAGAGGAAAGATAGACGGCCGCCCCAAGTCCTTGGCGCTCTCCTGCTGCCTGCATGAGCCCCTCCCTCTAAGCGGGCTTGGGTGGGTTTATGGGCGAGGTGATGGCTGTACCCATAAAAAGGGCTGGCAAAATGGGCTGGGTTTGTGGATCTGTCCTGGTCAGAGGTAGAGGTGTGGGCTAGTCTGAAGCTTGCAACTGATTGAGCAACCTTGGTCAGTGGATTAATGGCTTTGCATTGTCCAAGAGAAAAGGGGCCCTTCATCCTTGGTCCAGACCATTCACAATCTCTTTAAGGGGCCCAGAGGATGGCCTGGGGGGGATGCTGGTCACAGTCGCAGATGATAGCAAGGTAAGCGTGTTGAATAACACCTTGAAGGACCACGGTGCAATTCAACATGACTGTGACAGGCTGAATGCTGGGCTGATCCAAACTGAAGATCTGCAAATGTGCTGCCTGAAGCCCCGTTCCTGAAAATTGTCGTGGCTCTGGGTGCAGGACTGGATTGGCATGTGAGGAGGACACATGGACTGCAGGCTGAACACAGGCAAAGCCTGTGTTGCAGCTGCTCAAAAGTTGATGAAATCTTGGGCTGCATTAAGAGCAGCAGCCTCCAGGCCAGAAGAGCCCATTGTTCCATTGTACACTATGCTGCTTTGCAAACTTTAAAAGGGTAGAGAGGGGTTCAGGGGGCAACTCCCAGGGCAATCAGGGCCCGGAGCTGAAGCCCTCCCAGAAACAGAGCAGCTGACCCTATTTGGCTTGAGCAGACCACAAAACTGCTTGTCTTCTCCCTTGACACTGTGGAGATGTAGGCTCAGGAGGGATTTCCTCTTGGGAATCACTGCAGAGCAATGTGAAAATCTTGCATGGATGTGCTCCTCTTGCTGGGGGGTTTTCAAATAGGAGCTGAACAGCCATAAGGGAAAGCTCAGCAGATGCCTGCACTGGGCAGGGAGGGTGGACTGGGTGGCCTAGAGCTTCTCTGCTATCTATCCGTTCTTTAGTTCTCCCAAGGCTTCCTGGACTTCAGGGGGAGCAGCACAAATCTAGGAAAGAAAGGGAACCCCAACGTGGTCCTCCTTATGAAATATGATCACCCCAAACTCTATCATGCTCAGCAGTGGCACAATAACCGTACCTTGCTTTTGCACATCTTACCATCATGCAAAGTGTGCCAAATTTCTCAGCATGGCATTTGGGAAAGGAGTCAATGTTTCTGTGTTCTTGAGTGCAGAAGCTCGGAAGGAAGCCACCAGCAGCTCTTGCTGCCCTGGGTGGCAGGTCCTGGCCACAGCTCAAGGGGCTGCTTGGTGGAGCACTTTATAGACCACCCAGTAGAAAATGTTGAACACCAGGAAAGTGAAGGGGAAGACGGCTCGGGAAACGGTGTCGATCCTCTTGGCCCGATCCACGTAGCGTCTCCGGAGCATTTCTCCTTCTCGCAGGAGAGGGGCCGGAGGGGGCAGACCGTAGATAGGGCTGTCCATGGCTGCCCCACTTTTCATGTGCTGCAGACAATGGCCAAGTCCGTAGCCCTGGAAGTAGAAGCGGCTCTCACAGACCACCTCTTCTTCCTGGGCGGGGGGAGGGAGGAGTAAGGGTGGTTGTCAGCTGCTGCTGGCCAGGCTAAGACGTCAATGCCAAGACTGTGGACTCTTGCGAGGGAGGCGGAAAGTGGGAAGCTTTCTTGAGTTATTTTCCTGGTCTGGGCCCCCCCATCTAACTGTTGCCCTGGTGGCGGCTCTTCTTCCTCTCCTCCAGGGCCACTCCCTTCCCTCTACAGCTCCATCTCTGCACTGCAGGGACACGTTCATGGCTGCAAGTCGCCAAGTCCATGTTCCAAGCTGAATTATTACCTCGACGAGTGGCTCACAATTCCTAGCATTGTCTGATGTCCTCAGAGGCAGCCCTTTTATCCTAGTGTTCTGGATGCACAAACCACAAACCACCATCTCTCATTGTATCCTTGCTGCCTGGTGGGGAAGTGTTGGGGGGGGCGGCATCCCCCGGCAGGGAACGGAATTGGCCCAGGTTGCCTGCACATCTCCCCTTCAGTATGGAACTGAGAAGGGCAGCATCGTACAGGGAACCCCAGACACTGCTCAGTTCATCCAATTTCCAGGTTGGACCTCGAGCCCAAAGTGCTGAAGCTGGAGCAGCAAAGTCACCAGTGTTCAAGGCTTTGGTCTTGAGCACTTCCGTGTTCCCCCCCCTCTGAATGTCAGCCCCTCCCTGCCTTCCGTTCGATGGATTGGGGCTCTGCTCCGGGGCTATTCAACTCAGCACTCTCTTGCCCCCCTCTTTCCTGGATGTAAAACTGGGCACCCTTCTGCAGGCTGGCCAAGGACAGCTTGAAACTGGCCAAGGACAGCTTGCAGTTGATTGATCAAGCACTAGAGGGCAGTTCCTCTCCCCTGGCAAAGGCTGGCAAGGCACAACCGCTGCCAAGCGGAAAAAGCTGCTTTCGGTATCATCGACCATGGTCTCCTGGGGGGGGGGCTCCGTGCTCTCCTGGTTCACTTCCTTCCTCTGTGGCTGCTCTCAGTCGGTGTCAATAGGAAGCGAGAGACCCAGCCCTTGCCCACTGCTTTGCGGGGTCCCGCAGGGCTCGGTGCTCTCTCCCCTCCTATTTAATGTCTACATGAAGCCTTTGGGTGAGATCATCCGTCACCAGGGACTGAGATGTCATCAACAGGCTGTTGATCCCCAGCTGTACATCTTAGCCCGTGTTGGGTTAGGTGATGGCCTGACCTCCCTCTCGCAGTGCCTGGAGGCTGTCAGGGGCTGGATGAGGAGCAACGGGTTGAAACTGAACCCTGGCAAGACCGAGTGGCTCTTGGTTTGGGGTTCTTTGACCCATGGAGAATCACCACCTTTGGTCTCGGATGGGCTGGCACTGCCCCAAACAGACCCTGTGCATAATCTGCGGGTTCTCCTGGACTCGCAACTCATGCTCAAAGAGCGGGTGGCAGTCATGGTCAGAAGGGCTTTTGCACAACTGTGGGTTGTGTGCCAGTTATACCCTTTCCTGGACCAACAATCCCTCTTCACGGTCACTCATGCTCTACTCACCTCACATCTTAACTATTGCAACATGCTCTACATGGGGCTGCCCTTGAAAAGCATCCGGAAGCTCCAGTTGGTGCAAAATGTAGTGACCCACATGGTTTTGTGCAGCCCTCGGTGTGCACATGTATCACCTCTTCTGTGGGAGCTGCATTGGTTGCCGATTTGCTTCAGGGTGCAATTCAAGGTGCTGGTTGTCCCTTTGAAGCCCTTCATGACTTGGGACCAGGTTATCCAAGGGACCTTCTCTTGCTGATCACACCTATCTGACCCACTAGAGCAGGGAGGCAAGGAATGTTGCAGGTCCCATTCCTTAAGGAGGTACATCTGGTGGGATCCAGAAGAAGGGCCTTCTTCGTGGTGGCTCCCTCCCTCTGGAACTCCATCCGCCCGGAGATTAGACCCGCCCCCACTCTGACAGTCTTCCGGAAGGCCCTGAAGACCTGGTTCTGCCATCAGGCCCGGGGAACCTAGAGCAGGATGGAGCCCATTAAATGGCTGGTCTGAATGTATGTTGTTGCCGGGGCGGGGGTTATTATTTTATTATTTTTATTACTATTTTTATTTCTTTTAGACTGTGCTTTTATGTAAGCCGCCTTGAATCACCATGTACTAGGCGGCAATATAAGTTTTCTGAATAAATAAATAAATTCAGCTGGACTGACACAGACCCCAAGGGAAGCCCCCTTGCCTTCCCAGATGGCATCCAGCAGAGGGGCTGCCCAGCATGCTGCCTTCCTGAACAGATGCAGCTGAACAGCCCTGAGTGGCAAAACAAGGGAAGAGCAAAACCAAAGCCAGCACAAAAAAAGACACTTGTTTTAAAAGATGTAGCTGTTTCTGACAGGCAAAAGTCACCCAAGGAAGGAGGGCTTGACTTGGTAGGGGCTTCTTCCCCCCCCCCCTTCTAACCAGTCCCAGGGACATATGGGGAGCACTGGGCCTATTACCTCCCCCCGGAAGCCCCCTGCCCAACTCTTGCTCACCATCCTCTGTCGCCGTTGGCTCCTCCGCAGACGCAGGAGCTCCTTATGCTGGCGGGAGACAAAGTTGACCGCTGCATACTCCAGCAGGGCGGCAAAGACGAAGAGCAGGCAAACGGCCATCCATATATCAATGGCTTTGACGTAGGAGACCTGCCGACGAAAGGGGTGTGGGCAAGCAATTCCCCAGGCATTCTTGGCTGCTGCCTAAGCGGCCCCCTCCCCAACTCCAGCACTGCTTCCAATAGTTCGGACGGCCATTTTTCTTGGCAGCCCTGCTTCTATTGCAGCCCCCCCAGAAAACGCCAAAGACTTTCTAAGGTTCTTCTCATTTGGCACAGTGAGGCATGGTCCCAGCCTCACGCCAGGCAGGCACCAAGATGCCAGGAGTGTGGTGGTTCTCCTGCGGTGAATGTTTTGTAGGGCTTTGTCCTGCCTTGCAAGGACCTGGCATGTTCCCCCCAGCTGCCTTGACTCCAGGTTCAGCCCCCCAGTTAGGGACAGCAGCATTTCTTCACTGAGGAACTACATCCACATGGAGGGACGCATGCAGTGGGGCACCCCAAGATTTTCTGTTAGGCCCAGCACTGTTCAACCTCTTCATAAATGATTTAGATGAGGGAATAGAAGGGGAACTTATCAAATTTGCAGATGACACCCAGCTGGGAGTAATAGGCAACACCCCAGAAGATAGGCTCAAGATCCGGAAGGATCTCGACAGACTTGAACACCAGGCCCTATCCAACAAAATGAAATTCAGTGGTGAGAAAAGTAGAGCCTTAGGCAAGAAAAGTCAAATGCACAGGTGCAGAATAGGTGATACCTGGCTCAACAGTGGTAACTGTGGGAGGGATCTTGGAGCCCTAGTGGACAACCACCTAATATGAGCCAGAATTGTGCTGCAAAAAAAGCAATGAGGTCCTAGGTTGCATCAGCATGGGGATCACCTAAAGTACTAATACTGCTTCCTACTGCACCGGTAAGACCAGACTTGGAATACTCCGTCTGGTTTTGGTCACAATATAAGAAGGCTATTGAGACTCTAGACAAAATGCAGAGAAGAGCAACAAAGAAGATGAGGGGACTGGAGACTAAAACATGAAGAACGGTTGCAGGAACTGGGTATATCTGGTGTAATAAAAGAGAAGGACAAGGGTGACATGATAGCATCTTCCAATATCTAAAGGGGCTGTCACCCTACAAGAGGGGCTCAACCTATTCTCCAAAGCATCAGAGGGCAGAAAAAGAAACAACAGATGGAGACCGATCAACAAGAAGCCAACAAGAACTAAGGAGAAATTTCCTTACAGGGAGAATGATTAAACAGTGGAATGGCTTCCCCTAGAAATTATGGGAGCTCCATCACTGGAGGTTTTTTTAGAAAGATTGATGACATCACCTAGTTTGGATAATGAAATGTCTGCAAGAAAACAACCCAGATCAGAGAGCACCAAGGACCCCTCAGATTGGACAGCTGTTAGTCCAGAATGGTCTTGACCAGGGGGTTGAACCAGCAATCCCTTCCAACTCTGTTATTCGGTTATTCTGTCCCCAAATGGAGCCGATGGTATCTGCAGGGACTTCGGTCACTTCTGGACAAAGAGAAAAGCCAGACCAAGACTAAACCTTTCTGGCATTCGTTGTTTGCCTCCTAGTGTCGCTTTGGGGTTGGGGAGTGCGCACTCACATTCTGAGGTCAAGTCCCCTCCCCCCTCGCACCAGCTGGCATCTGATTTTCCTCCATAAGGCCCCTTGGCCACCTGCCAAATGAGTAGTTCGTCAGTGGCCTTTTCCTTTGGAAATTTAAATAACCTGAACAGATGCTAGAAAAGATGGGGAGGCAACTCCCCCAGCATTAGAGAAGGAAGAGACGGGACTTCTCTTTGCGAGGTCAGGTTTGGGAATGCTCAGACCCAGATGGGGCTGGAAATCTAAGAAAGACGTTTTTCTCCTCCTTCTCTCACTCCTTTTGGTGAGCCAAAGACAGAAATAGCTGTGGGAAAGATTCCTTGTTCGGCCTGCAGTGCTGGGCATTTAAAACTTACCTACATCTGTTTTACCCACTTCAAAATACCCCCTTGATGCTGCTGGCTTTAAGAGGCAAACTGAGGTGTTGTGTCGTTCCTGCCTCATTTGCTGTATAAGAGGCACAGCGGTGCAGGGTGTCCATGCATGTAGCACAAGGAAGAGGATTCATTTCAAGTGGTCATTCCTGGGCTTTGTAGCACTGTATACTTCTGAAGATGCACAGAGGGTTCACCAGAGACACCTGGCTCTCCCTGGTAGCCATTGGGTGTGTGGCAGGTGCCTACCTCTCCTGGCTCCCACGTAGGTAACGTGGTGGGATAGGGAAGGTTGTCTCCGCTCTTATCAGGGAACCTTCCTGTGGTCTGAACTTAATGACCTCCAAAAGGGGGTGTAGCATGTGCGAGGAAACCAACGCTCCTTCCTTTAGCTCAGGGGTGGTGCATGGAGATATTCAAGGTCCTCTCTTGGCAAAATTTCATGCTGTGGTTTGAGGGAACAGCTGGAAGCAGCATAAAGGGGCCAGCTGAGCACAGGAGGGCTCTGATATGACCTCCCCATCCCACCTCTAGATGGGAATGCTGGGAAACCCTCTCTGCCTGCCCAGAGACACGTGTCCTGGGAAGATGCTCCAGGATCCCCTGTCGTGGGCCCTGACCTTAGGCAAGGATGCCCGAGACCCTGCACTCTGGGTGGTCATTGTCAGCACAGTGGTAATGCCGAGCCCCACCCGGGCTGGTGCAGCATCCATGTTGATCCAAAAGGAGACCCAAGAAAGGATGACAATCAGCAGGCTGGGGATGTACATCTGGATCAGATAGTAGCCCATCTGCCTCTCCAGGTGGAACTTCACTTCGATGCAGGTGAACTGCCCTGGAGGAAAGGAAGAGAGCCGGTCACCTGTGGGCCCATTCTCTAGAGGAGCACCCGCTGCACCTCTGAAAAGCACAGGAGAGACTCCAATAGGGGAGGTCGTGTTTGGCAATGGAGGGGTGGTGGGGGTGGGTTGGCTGATGCATCAAAGCAACTGTACTCTCTGGCAGAGCTGCTGGGGAAGTTATTGTGGCTTTCGAGGGGGAGAAGGTAATGGATGTGCTCTAGGATCGGTGGGGGGAGGGGAGGGGCAGGGGAAGAGGATACCTAATTTTGTCCAAGCCATGATAGCAGACAGAGGTGGTGAGAAGTGAAGGGTGGGAGTAGCAGGGGCAAGACCTGCTTCATTCTCCAGCTCCCTGTGCTCCTCCCTGAGGCCAGGGGCTTGGGTCTGTGGGGGCTCCAGTTGCTGTTACAGGATGCCAGGTGAGCATGCAAAAAACACCTGTTTCCAGGTTGGGGATAACCTCCCCTGGGGCTTCAGTCTGGCCCCGACCACAATCCCAGGATAGGGTGAGGCCTAATGACTTTCCCAGGCTCTACTCAGCAGATAACGGAGTGAGACCCTCTGACTCCACATGGCCTGACTTTGTTTAAATGGGTCTGTAAAGGCTGGTTCTCTCCCCAAGCTTCGGACTTCTGATGGGATATTTGGTTTGCCAGAAGCTGTTTTCTACTTTTTCTGTGTGTTTCCTTTTTATCCTCTTTGTATCATATTATACTGTTTGCTTGCCTAGGTTTGTGATAAAGTCAGACAGTAAACGAATGGATGGATGGATGGATGGATGGATGGATGGATGGATGATGAAGGGCAGCATCATGGTAGTTTTTGAGGCAGTCTGCAAACGGGGCCTTTAGCCCTGGGAGGAGCACTGAGCCTCCCCCCACCAGGCAGATCTGGTCACCTGTGTTGTAGGACTTGGTGCAATAGCCCAGATCTTTCTCATCCCGCAGGATAAACTGAGGCAGTGTCAGGCCTTCAGCCACCTGCACGGCCTCCTGCTCCGTCTCCCACTCGAAGGTCAGGTCATTCATGGTGTAACCGACTGCAAGGCAAGCAGAGACAGGCAGCAGGAGGAACCCAGAGAAGGGACAGAGCCACCCACCCTTCTGCAAAGAGCCAGCCCTTCTCTTGCCCCCTCGCCACCTTTCATTGCTCCTCCAGTGTAGAGGGATGATGCCCACCTGGCCTTCCATTGCTCAGGTTGCATTGGTGTGCCCAGGTAACATGGCTTCCAGCTCCATCTTTCTATTGGGCCTTCCAGATCCCTCCTTATTAAACCATCTGTAACTTTTTGGCTACCCCCATCTAGTTATGACATCAACCCAGATTCTGAATTATACACCGACCACCCCACAGAATAGTTAAGTCACAATAAAGATCCAAGATTACTGCTAATGAAGCTCAGCATACTGTGCAAATCCAACTGCTATACCTAATCATGCTGTGTAAACCAGCCTAGTACTCCTTGTACCTACAACTAATTTGCGTTGCCCATAAAGTGAGCATAAGTACAGAAACTGTGGCTCTTATGTACAGCACCAAGGATGCTACAGTTAAATAAAAATACCCACAGCTCTCCAGTTGCATGGTGCATGTCTGAATGTCCATAGGGAAGTTCTTGAGATCCATAGGGCAGGAGAGGATAAGAGTCAGCCTACGGGGAAGAGAAAGAACAGTCAAACAGGACCACAGTGAGCCATATTTTCTGGGTGGTTAGGCTGAACAGGATGTTGTTGAAGCTGATACCTAATGCTATATAGCACACCCCCATTTTTGAAAATGCGTAGAAGCTTGTTGTCTGTAGTGACCCCATGGAAGCTGGCTCCCTTCTCGTTGGCAAAGAACAGATCTGGCTTCCAGATGGAGTCCAGCATGGAGGGGTCCAAATCTAGAGAGTCATCGGGGTATTCCCAATAAGTCAGGCGAGGGTCATTCCAGTGCTGCCGCAGAAAGACATTGACACGATAATCCTGGAAGAGCCAAGAGAAGCTGTCACGGGTGGAGCCAAGGTGAGAGAAGGCAGGCATGTTGACAGATGGAATAAGGACTGCAGCAAAGGGAAAGTGCCTGACTGAGGCGGCAGGGAGGGGCTTAGAAGGGGGGGTTGCAAGGTGTGGAGATGGACCCAGTGCAGGGCTGTTCTTTGGCTCTCCAGTCGCTCTTGTTCCCCAGGCTCCCGCTCGCACCACTGGTCTCCAACTGCTATCCTGAAACAGTCCTCCAAGGCCAGAGCAATCAGGGAGAGTTGTGGCCTATCAACTGTGCCCCTCCCGAGCCTGCAGCTTCTAAAGGCCAAAGGTGCTGCAGTGCTCGGCTGGGTTGAGAAAGAAGGGTGAGGAGGGTGGGCGGGCTAAGCCTTACCATGGTCGTTTCTGTGACTGAACCAAAGCTGTTGATGAAGATGTTGCATGTCACATTGACGGGTGGGCCTGTAAGGAAATTAAAAAAGGACTCATGGCTGGCATGTTATAAAGCTATTGAAGCCTGATGATGGGTCCCAATCAGCTAAGAATGTAAGAGCCGTTTGGCTGGATCAGACCGAGGACCAACATAGTCCAGGGGAGAAGCAAATGGCTCTTCCAAGCAGAAAACATTCACCACACCTGCAGTTGTAATTTGAGCTCCCCAACCCAGACAGAACACGGGGTCCTCAAAAGCAAGACCTTCCAGAAGAGCAGTCCTGTCCTCCATGAATTCATCCAATCCCTTCTGATAGCCATCCGTGAATTTATCCCCTGTATGAAGTCAGTGGCCATCACCTCATTTTGTGGGAATAAATGATGTATTGAAGGAACAAGTGCTCTCTCTTTGGTCTGCCATAAATCTGCTCCCAGTCAGCTTTATAAGGGGGTGGGGTGGGGTTCCCAGTTTTAATTTTCAGAGATGGAGAAAACCAACTGTTCAATTTCACCCTGACATCCATGTTTCCTACACCCTGATGATATCTCCCCTCAGTTGCCTTTTTTATATGATTTTCTTGAGGTGGAGAACCCATACAACTGTTAGATGGAAAATCAAGCTACTGGTCTTCTGAATGCAGAGACTCCTGCCCCTCCTAGGTCTGTCACATAAACATCCCAATATCTATGTCTCCTCAAGATCTCAGGCAAAGGTGCACAGCAATAAAACACAGGTCTTTCTACCTATCAGGCAGTTGACCCACAGCCACTCCATGAAGCCCAACTACATTCTCAGTCATACCCAACATCCTCTCAAGTTGATCCCCAGGAGAGGAGGGAGGCAGGGGTGAGACCGCTCTTCTATTCCTGGGTTATCGTGCTTTGAAAGCACCTTTGCTAGCCCTGAAAGAAAACGTGAAGATGGCGCAAAGGCCATGGATAGTTGGGCAGAGCAGCTCTTTGAAGGGGCTCTTCCCTCCATGAGGGGTCCACAGAAGCTTCCCTGAAAGGTGCTTTGTGCAGCAACCTGGCCTCCCCTTTTTCAGAGTGAAGCAAACCACCAGGAAGCTCTGCCCTCGTCCAAGGCTTCTATGGCCCTGCCAGCTCTTGGGACGGCATGTGCAGAAGCTTCTTCTATGTGCTGCAAGCCCCTCTCAGGCTGAAGAGGGCGCAGGAAAGATCTCTCTGTCTCACTGCAGAGTCTCATTTCATTTCTGACCAAAGGAATCCAGGCTGTCTTGCTGCGGCTCATACCTTACCTTTGAAGTTGGGCCTGATGCGAGCATCGTAGCCCGACGTCCGGCCCATCAGCTTGTCCAGGAAATCGGAGGGAGACATCGGCTGGGGGAGGCTCTGCAGGGCCGATTTGACTTCTCTCCCTGCCACGAATCTGGTGGTGGTAGGGAGGAGAATAGAGGTGCCAGTCTGACAGTCTTCCATATGCACATGCCTTCCTCATGGGATACACACCAAGCAGAAGGCCACATGTGATCTGGTTAATGTATTTTAGAGTGTCATGCAAACCTAGAACTTTCTCCCAGTTGGGGTTGCCTTTCCCTTCTGCAGCATAAGGAGGGATTTGGGTTTTCAGTACAGATCACCGGCTAGGAACTGCCCTGGACAACTCCAGATGGGGAGCAGGTACGGATAAACCGCTCCCCCAGGGGATGAGGGTTTGGGGCCATAAAGACGGGCACTACACTTGATTGTGGAATCATTTGGCCTGGGGAGACCCCATAAATGACAGCATGCCAAAAAAGGAGGACCCCGGACCCTGGGGCGATGCCTTGCTGGGCTTCTCAGCACAGGGCCCAGCATCTGTGTGGCATGGAAACACTCGATTCAGCCTTCATGGAGAAAACAGCTATAAGATTCCCTCTCAGGAAATGTGCTCAGAATTCAGAGGGCCAGCTTGGCTAGTCAAAATGCTTCAACCAAACTGCCACTCAACAGACTGCTGAAACCAATCAACACTGCCAATGAAATTGCATCAGCTTTCTTCTGTTGCCCCAGGAGCTGCAGTCCTGATGCTCTTCTGCCATTCCACAAGGCCCTTGAAAGCTCACATGGCATCAGCACAGCTCTCCACAGCCCAAGGAGCCCCCTTTTCCTGTGGGGTTGCAGGGATGTACACCCGTCTCCTTCCACCCCATTGCCCAGGCAAAGGAGCACCTCAAGGCTCCCCCAGGTCCATTTTACACACAGACCTATCCTCAGCCTCAGAGATGAAGGAAGAGCACCTGGCCATTTCCCCCCAATCCGCACCATAAATTTTTATTTGGGTTTTTTCTAATAGTTTTAGGAGGCCTAAGACATTTCTTCTAAGATTAACTTGCTCCCACTTATAATCGTGGTTATTTTACTTTAATCTCTGAAAAGAAAATGTTGCCTGTTAAAATAAAAAGAACAGAGAAACAGTAGGAAAGTTTTCCAATAACAAGAGCAGCCCTGAAAAAGGAGCAAACACTCTGCAAATCCTGAGAGATTCCGAGGGGAAGCGCAGAAGTCCTAGATCTTCCCAGAGCCGAGCAAACCCAGCTGGGTCAGAGCCCAGGTGGACCAGCCTTCTCCTCTGGCCCTAATGAACGCTTGCCCACAGGAGCAGAAGGTGGCCAGCCCTGCAGCTTGTCTGGGCTAGAAAAGGATGGCAGCTCTTCGTTCTTTGGGGCGTCAAACCGTGGTGCCCATTAATCAATTCAACCTTGAAACAAAGGCTCACGTGAACTGCGCACAGCCTGTTTCATCAAATAACACTTTCTGAAGAAAAGCAAGAAGCGAACTTGTGAGCAGAGGCCACCAACATTCGCGGCCAGTCGCGAAGCCGGGAGGGGAGGGCGAAGGAGCTGCTAGGCGGCAGATGCCCCGGGAAAAACAGCCGCGGAGAGGAAGACCCGCTTCCTAAGCCGGGCAGCCCACCCTTGCGGAGCGGCTCCTTGGCCTCGGGAAACTCTGCTGCCGCTGCCGCGGGGCAGCTCCAGAGTGAGTCGGACCCCGCCGCGCGCGGGCTTTGCCATCGGGTACACCGGAGCGCGGGCGAAGAAAGCTTGGGCTTTTGCCTGTTAAAATACAAAGAAGGAAACGCTCGCGCCGCACGTGCAGCATCCCAGCCGGCCCTCCAAGAAGCCGGGCCCCGGCCGAGACAGCCCCCCCTCCACTCACCCGAGGAGGGCGCCCTGGAGGAGCAGGAGCGGCACTCGCGTCCCGTGCGCCCGGGGCATCCTCGTGAGGCCAAAGGGGCTGAGGCCGGAGCGGGTGGACTGCGAAGTTCGCGGGGCAGCGCTCCTGTCCGGGGAGGCGTGCGGGCATGTCCAGCTGCTGCTATTCTTCCGGGCAGGGTTGGGCGGCGGCGGCGGCGGCGGCGGCAGCAACAGTGCCGAACCGAGGCGTCCGGACTTCGGCCAAGACGGCCTTGCCGGAGCCCGAGACGCTTGGCTCACTTCTCCCCGCCTCCAGCGGGGAGGGCGCTGCCCACCCACGCGAAGGACAGCCCCGACGGTCTACGTTTGGCTGCAGGTCTCTCAGCCGCCTTTCGGGAGACAACTTCTCGGTTTTTTGCGGGCGCTCAGCCTCGACGGCGTCGACGGCAGGCGAAGGAGCAGGGGCATGTGCAGAGCGCCCCTTCTTGCCCGGCCCGAAGGGGATAAGGGCAAGGCTTCCTGAAGCCCCCGCAGTTTGGGCGTCCGCCTCCTTTCCGCCCTCCGGCGCGGACGCCCAAAAGACAAGGAGGGCGCATTTGGCGCCGGCTGGCGGGACACCAGCAAGGCTGTTGCGAAGCTCTTCGTTCACCTCCCAGGACGAGCACAGGACCCCCGGGCTCCCGGGCGCGGCCGGCCTGACGAAGGGGCTGAACCGTCCCTCGCGGAGCAGATAGAACTTCCCGACCAGGCCGGACCGGGCTGGGAGTCTTTTCTTCCCTTTCAGAGGCTCTCCACACATTTCTTTTGACCTGGTGGTGGACGGACCCTCTGAGCAGTGGCTGGGCTCCCGTTTCGCTGCCAAAACTGAGTCCAGAACTTCCTTCACTGCATCGCTTTCTGATGTGGTCCTGTGTTCACACATTACTCGTTGGTTCCTTCAGGTTATATACTGTTCAGCTTAGAGTTAACAAGCTGCAATTACAACAAAGAGAGTTATAACATATAAAGCTGGAAGGCTCTGCCTTGTCACTCACTCCTGGGGAGTAAACTTTTCAGACCTCTCTGTTTCCAGATTCTTTCAAAATATAATAACATGGCATATTCCAGATATCTGGAGGGAGCTGATTTTCAGTCTGTTTAGTTTGGCAGTGGCTTAGCCGTTGGCATGGATGGGCCCGTGCTTTGGCGGATTAAAACAATTGTGCCAAGAACATTGGCTAATTCTGCATGCCTTAATGGGTATTGTGATACAACTAATGTGTGAAGGTGTAACAGCCTTTCTAAACTCTGGAGGAGGAAGAGAGCCAGGCTCGTCCTTAGAGAAGGATCCCCGTAGGAAGATAAGTGCAAGGCAACTTTTTGAGGGAACTTGGAGTCTTGAGGATAACAGCCCCATCCCTGCTTAAGGGGGGGGGACCTCAAGGTCTGCAGAAATGCCCTTAGCAAAAGCAAAGGAAGAACAAACTTCCCCATCCTGCTCAGTGGGCAGAAGGTGACTGGGCCGTTGGGGAGTGGTTAGGACTGGATAGGGTTAGGTAAAAGGCACAACTGTCTGCTTGGAATTCAAACCCCCCCCCCCCCCGTGAAACTCTCTGGACCTTCTGGACCCCCCTTCTAATCTTTCAGTTCTCCAGGGGGGGAAGAAATAAGAAGAGAAAATCACTCCCAAACCACAGGGGACTCTGCAGCAGTTCAGGTGAATTCCAAAAAAGATTGCAGTGCTGTTTGTTCCCACTGCAAGGCTAAAATTAGAAGACGACAGCAGGACAATCATTTGTCACTTGGGAGGTGGACCAGTAACTCCAGCTCAAGGTGACAGTACCAGTGGGCCACATGCAGCTCTGTGCCCCTCTCTGCCCTTCCAGTCCTGCAGTTTAGTAGACGAAATACTTAAAGCCGGGAAAAGGGGAACGGGACAACTGTCCAGTGGCACCTGCTGTGCCCTGCCCTGGCAGCTCGGCTGGCTCTGCATCACCCGGCCCGTGTGAGGAATGGCAACACCAGCAGCTCTGCTGTAGCTGCACTTCAGGGTTGAAACATGGGCCAAAGAAGGCATGAAAAGGCACCTCTGCTCCACCCGCACTGGAGCTCTGGGGAGGTATGGGGCATACCTGCCAGCCCTGCACACTCTCACACCCTTTGAGGGCTCCAGGTGGACTCCAGCATCCTTTGGGAAGGGGAAATTCCTGGAAGTGGGCTGCTGGCAGAAGCACCACTTGCCTTGGGATTCTAGCATCTTTACTTCACTGGAAAGGGAAGTTATCACACTGAAGAAAATTGGGTTAAAAATGCTCAGAAATTGGATTTCTAAGAAAGGCTTTATCATGGATTATGGCTATCTAGACATGACCACTATTATTGGTCTTGGGCTGATCAAATAACTCTTAAGCAGCCATTTTGTATGAATATGTTCACCTCTCAGGCCCAACCTGCTTTGGTGACTTGGATCCTTGGGTCCCTGGGGTTTGGCTGCCTGCAGAGGTTGCTCTAGGAAAGGCACCCTGGAGCTTAATTATTGCCCCCCCTAGCCCTAGCAGGAGGAAGCAGGGGAGGCAGAGATGCTCTGTCCAGCTGGGAATGCTTCCATCATTTCCTTCCTGCTAGCCAATGCCATGGGGAAAAGCTCTTTCATTCTGAGGGATGGGGCACAATCCCAGAGCAGAAGAGGCCGCCCCATGGGTGCCACCTGAGTAGGAAATGGGCTATCCAGTTCAGGGCAATGCTCCCGCTCCAGCTGCCCGTCCAGTTCTTCAGTGCCAGTGAAAGACAGCAAAGGCCCTGAGTAACCAGCCCAGGCCGGGCATACCCCGTGCTGAGGGCTGCCCGTAGCCATCAGCAGAGTCAGGACCAGCGGCAGGAGCCTGCATGGGTGGGAGAATGAGCCTCCATTTGACCCAGGAAGGCAGCTCCAAAGCTTTTGCCTCCTCCTGGTGGGCAGTCCTGCCACAGCAGAAATCTCTTCCTGCACCCCCTTTTCCATTCAAAAGGGCAGTGGGAGTATGGTCACCGGCAGGCCCGTGGCTGCACTGAACACCCCCTCCTCAGAGGAGGCAGAGTGGAATCACGTTTCTTCTCAGAGCAAGCCCCCTTTGGGCATCTGCCGGGTGGTGAAGGTAAGGCTGGACATTATCCCATGACTCTCTGACCACTGCCAGCTGCTCCATTTGCCTCTTTTCCCAGCTTGCTGGCAGCACTTTGGTCTTCAGTTTGCAAGCACGACCCAGGCAGCCT